TCTCATCTGAATTCATTTTTTATTTTTCTCTCTTTCCAAATATCTGTCTCGTTCTTTCAGCCTGTTTTGTTCATACAATTGATTTCGTCAGATGTTTCAAAGATATTTCACTCTCTTTAGTCTTTATTACTTTCAATCAAACGCTTTATTCAAACTTTCTTTTCAGCTCAAATGTTTTAGCTTTTTCTTTCTTTATTTCTTTCTTTCTTTCTTAACTGCTTACTTTCTTTCTTTCTTAACGGCAGTTGTGGTCTCCTCCCTCTAATAAGCCTCTAAGTAGACTCTTCCACTTACTATAGAGTAGTAGGAAAGTAAGCCTCGGGAGGAACAGTCGAATAGATTTTTCATCTGTCGAACTCTCTGCCTTGAGCGGAGAGGAAACCGGACGAGGGTTCGCCGAACAGCAAAGTTTCGTCCGAGAAGGTAGACAGGGCCTGAACCCGTTTATACGGGTTCGAGGGAAGATTTTTGTCCCAACCTATGGGCTCGGAGAACCCACAGTAAAATCGGCCTTGTGCCACATACATGCCTAGTGGTGGTGGTGGTGGTGGGGGGCGAGCCCATAGGTTGGGACAAAAATCTTCCCTCGAACCGTATAAACGGGTTCAGGACCTGTCTACCTTCTCGGACGAAACTTTGCCGTTAAATATTAACAGCCGACTAGATTGTTCGTTGCTGTCGAACTCTCTGCCTTGAGCAGAGAGGAACACGGACGAGGCTTTGCGTTTCTCACGGGGAGATAGACAGGCCCTGAATCCGTTTATGCGGGTTCTAAGGAAAGATTTTTGGCCGAACCTACGGGCCCGGAGAACCCAAGGTAAGCTCGGCCTTGTGCCACATACATCCCTTGTGGAGGGGGAGGCTGTTAAATATTAACAGTGCCATAGTCTGTTCAACTGTCGAACTCTCCGTCTTTGGCAGAAAGGAACCCGGACGAAGCTTTGCCGAAGGGCAAAGTTTCGTCTGGGGAGGTAGACAAGGCCCGGACCCGTTTATACGGGTTCTACGGGAACCTTTTGCCGTATACATCCCTCGTGTGTGGGGTGAAGGCTGTTAAATATTAACAGTGATATAGACTATTCTACTGAGGCTGTTCGCAGATCCTGTTGAACTCTATGCCTTGGGAAAGAGAGGAACCCGGACGAAGCTGTGCCGAAGGGCAGAGTTTCGTCCGGGGAGATAGACAGACCCGAACCCGTTTATGCGGGTTCTACGGGGATTTTTTGACTGAGCCTACGGGCTTGGATGACCCACGTTAAACTCGTCCTTGTGCCACATATATCCCTGATGGGAGGGGACTGTTAAATATTAACAGTGATATAGACTGTTCTACCGAGGCTGCGACTGTTCGAAGCTCCTGTCAAACTATCTGCTTTGCGCTGAGAGGAACCCGGACGAGGCTGTGCCGAGGGGCAGAATCTCGCCCGGGGAGGTAGACAGACCCGAATCCGTTTATGCGGGTTCTACGAGGAATTCGAGGCCGAGCCTACGATCTCGAATGACCCACGTTAAACTAGGCATTGTGTCACATGTACCCTCGTGGGGGGATGGCTAATAAATATCAAATGTGATATAGAACTGAGGGCTCGTTAACCGACACATACACCTGTGTCGTGTAAAACATTTCTGTTGTATTTGCCGTTCAATACACTATTTATCTGCAAGCTCTTGTTTTGTTATTTCTTAACACTATGCTTGGTCACAATAACTGCTTACTTTCTTCCTTCTTGCTTTCTTGCTATCTTACAAATATTTCTCCTTTCATCCAATTTCAATTTTTATTAGTCTTTCAAGTTATTAGAAATGCTATAATTCTTTGTTTTCTTCTTTATTCTGCTTCACGCCATTATGCGTGCTTTTCGGGGAGGTATTTCTTACCCCACCTTGGCTTAGTTAATATTTAATTAATTTATACTTAGTTAATATTTAACAATTATTACATGTTTCTTTTAAACGCTTTCTGGTAATCTTTAAAATTTTTATTTATTTGTTCATTAAAATTCATTCTTTCTTTTTTTCTTTCAATTTTTTTCTTTCTTTCACGCGGTTAGCTTATTTCTCTCAAATTCTTTTATTCTTTCAAATAATTTCTTATTTAGTCTTAACTAGTTCTCATGCTTTTCATTTTTCTATTTTCTTCTTTCTTTTAAACCTTCATTTTCTTCGTCTCAGTTTTTCTTTCATTCAGATTTTTTGCTTTCTTTTCTTTCTTCTAAATATTTCTTTCCTTCTTTCAATGTATTTCATCTGTATTCTTTCTTTCTTCCTTTCTTTCTTTCTTTCTTTCTTTCTTTCAATGTAATTTATCTGTATTCTTTCTTTCTTTCTTCCTTTCTTTCTTTCTTTCTTTCTTTCTTTCTTCCAAATATTTCTTTCCTTCTTTCAATGTATTTCATCTGTATTCTTTCTTTCTTCCTTTCTTTCTTTCTTTCTTTCTTTCTTTCTTTCAATGTATTTTATCTGTATTCTTTCTTTCTTTCTTTCTTTCCTTCTTTCTTTCTTTCTTTCTTTCTTTCCTTCTTTCAATGTATTTCATCTGTATTCTTTCTTTCTTTCTTTCTTTCCTTCTTTCAATGTATTTCATCTGTATTCTTTCTTTCTTCCTTTCTTTCTTTCTTTCTTTCTTTCTTTCAATGTATTTTATCTGTATTCTTTCTTTCTTTCTTTCCTTCTTTCTTTCTTTCTTTCTTTCTTTCCTTCTTTCAATGTATTTCATCTGTATTCTTTTTTTCTTTCTTTCTTTCTTTCTTTCTTTCAATGTATTTCATCTGTATTCTTTCTTTCTTTCTTTCTTTCTTCCTTTCTTTCTTTTCTTTCTTTCTTTCTTTCTTTCTTTCTTTCTTTCTTTCAATGTATTTCATCTGTATTCTTTCTTTCTTCCTTTCTTTCTTTCTTTCTTTCTTTCTTTTTTGCTATCAATTGATTTACTCTTTCTTTCTCGTTTCCTCCTAGTAAAATTTTCTCTTATATTTTGGAAAGATTTTCATCACCTTATTTCTACCGTCGATTAAAAACTCCTATTTTTGTTTTTTTATTATTTGTCCAAAGATTTATGCTAACGATAACAATTTTAAGTTTTTGAACGTTTTTCGCTCCACCTTTTAATTTTATTTTTCGCATTTTAAAGATTTTCTATTTCAACCCTCGTTTATTTTTTTGCACTTTTTAAATCTTATTCCTTCCTTTTTCCGCCCAGTTCTTAAACGCCATCTTGTTTTCAGTCTGGCCATTATTATTTACTTTTTGTCATACTTATTTCTCTTTTATTTGTTTTCACGAACAGGAAAACCAGTTCACCATTAACTTCCTGTATCAGCGAAATGATAAATCACTTTGAAATAAAAATTTTTCTTCTTCTTCTTCTTCCCTTTCACGTTTTTACTTTAATTTAAAGTGAAACCAGAACAACGGCAAACCACATTTTTCAATAGTTAATGCGCGATTCTTGTGAAACTTTCGCTTAACAAAACTCGCTTTCCATTATAAAAAAGGTCACAGTTTTCTGTTGGATAATAGTTTGAGTTATCTGGTAGCACACACATATCAGCATATTCTGTAAATCGTCCTGGAAGTAAGCATGTAAATTAAAATAGAGAGAAAATACGGTATTTTCATTTGATTTTTTTTTATTATTTAATTGCTAAAATCCTAACGAGACAGATAAGAATTATAATACAATCGAGAAAGAATAAAAAAAAAAAGAAATGAACACTTAAGGAAAATAAAATTAGAAAAGAATCACTAGTAAACAATAAAATACCGAAAAGAAATTCTAGAAATCGATAAAATGAGAAAGAAATCTCTAGAAAATAATAAAAAAGAAAAATCTCTAGAAATTGAGAAAATGAGAAAATGAATGTCTCGAAAAAGTAAAAAAGAGAAAAGAATTTTTAGAAGACAAAAACACGAGGAACATATCTAGAAAATGAAGACGATCTCTAGAAAATAATTAAAAAAAAGAAAAATCTCTAGAAAGGGATAAAAGGAGAAAATGAATCTCTGGAAAAAGTAAAAAACGAGAAAAGAATATTTAGAATACAAAAACACAAGGAAAATATCTAGAAAAGGAAAAAATATCTCTAGAAAATTATAAAAAAATGATAAATCTCTAGAAAGCGATAAAATGAGAAAATGAATCTCTGGAAAAAGTAAAAACGATAAAGAACTTTTAGAATACAAAAACACGAGGAAAATATCTAGAAAATGAAAAATATCTTTAGAAAATTATAAAAAAATGATAAATCTCTAGAAAGCGATAAAATGAGAAAATGAAACTCTGGAAAAAGTAAAAAACGAGAAAAGCATTTTTAGAATACAAAAATACGAGAAAAATATCTAGAAAATAAAAAAGATCTCTAGAAAATAATTTAAAAAAATCTCTTGAAAGCGATATAATGATATAAAAAATTTCTCGAACAAGATAAAACTATTAAAGAATTTCGAGAAAGCAAAAATATGAGAAAAAATTCTCTAAAAACGATAAAATATCTCTAGTAGACGATAAAATAAGAAAAAGCCTGCAGAAAACGAACATATGGGAAACATCCCTACAAAAAAAAAAAAAAAAAAAACAAACAAAAAAACAAAAGGAGTAAAGAATATCTAGGAAACAAAAGAATGAAGAAAAATCTTTAGAAAACGATTAAATAAAAAAATGTATAGAAAAGAATATTAGTATTTTCATTAATTGCTAAAATCATAACGAGGCTAATAAAAATATATATTAACAACGAAACCGAATAAAGAAAAAGATTAAAACATTAAGGAAATAAAATTGGGAAAATAATCACTAGATAAAGATAAAATAACGAAAAGAAAATTAAAGAAAACGATAACATGAGAAAATAATCTCTGTAAATCATGAAAAAAAAAAACTTCTAGAAAATGATAAAACTAGAAAATAATCTCTGTAAATGATGATAAAAAAAATCTCCAGAAAACTATAAAACCAGAAAATATTCTCTAGAAAACGAAAAAACGAGAAAAGATAAATAGAAAAGTTAGAAAGAAGGAAAAATTAACGGAAAGAACATGAGGCAAAAGGGGAGTAACGCAAATAGAAAGAAGGAACGAAAAGAAAAAAAAGAGGTGAAGACAAAAAAAAAAGATCTGAAAATAAAGTTGGCAAAACGCTACAAAAATCTGTGAATAAAAAGAAAAAGAATACAAAACTGAAGAGAGGCGAGAATAATTAAGGCAAGATGGACAGAAGGAAGAAGAAAAAGCAAAGAATGGAAGAAAGAAGAAGGGAAGGAAAGAGTAAGGAAAGAAGAGAAAACGAAAATGTCGGTAAAATGAAAAAGAGCGAAAAAATAAGAAAAGAAAAGAAACGTGTACGGAAACGAAAAGAAAAAGAAAAACGAAGGCAAGAAAAGAGTAAAGAAACGAAAAGTGAGAGAAAAAAAACTAAAAAAAGAAAAAAAGAAAGGAAGGCAGAAATCAGTTAGAAAATCAAAGAAGAAAAGATATATCATTGAAAAGAAAAAAAAAGAGAATTTAAAAAAAAAGAAACGAAATAAAGCACTAAGGAAGCGAAAGAGAAAAGAAAAAGAAATTAAAAAAAAATAAGTGTTAGTTGAAAAGAAATAGAGAAAGGAAATGAAAGGAGAAAAAAGATGGGTGAAACAATAGAAAGAAAGCAAATTAGAAAGGTAGAGATAAACCTTTCTTTAAATTGAACAAAATAAGAAAGAGGCCCTTTATTAAGGGTAGGAGAAGTAAAAGATGACACGATAACGCGAAAAATAACTAACTAAATAAAATATACTAGTCATTAACAGGAAGTAGAAAACAGGAAGTCACGCGAAAAAAAAATGGCTGTTCCGCTGTTCGTTGTCAATGACACTCAACGTAAATTTATTGATTCCTCTTCTGTGTTTCGATTCCGCTTCACATTTTTCTTTCGAAACGACCATATTGTTTAGAACATATTACACCGCCATCGTCCCTGTATAAAAAAAAATAATAATAAAAGAATAATTGTTCTATATCTCCAATGTATAAACATTTCGGATAAACAAATTAAAATAAATTATGCATTTAAATTGAAAATAACGATATTTTGATCACAGATATTATTCTTTGACAAGTATTTTCATTTTTCTTATAGGTCAGTACACGCACTGGGATTAGAATGATAAATAATGCGAATGCTTCAACTCCATAACCTTACACAACCTAAAATACAATTCCAGGAATGCGAAAATCACAATATTTACCAACATTCTTCGCATCTGTGAAAACTGCTGATGTTTAACCCTTTGAACCCTGTGTTTCTAAACAATTTTAACCCTTCTGCCGGAGTCATAATTCGCAAATAATTGGTATGCCATGTTTCAAGGGAAATAATAAAAAAAAAAAAATAGTTACAAGTGTTTATCCAGCGTTCAAAAAGTGTCTGGGTATTAAGTCATTTTTCTCTACCACCGTTCAACCGGTGGCTGTGCATTGTCATTTTCCTCTACCACCGGTAAAGCGTGGTCAAGGCTCAAAGGATTATGTATCGTTGTTTACCGTGTTTGAATTTTTTGTCCTCCTAAAGACAAATCAATGTCATCTGCATGAATTACAAATATTGGCATGGAGGATTTCTGTTTTTTTGTTTTTGTTTTTTAAACATTACACGTTTCACATTAAGCGTCACATCAAATTGTGATGGAATAACGTCCTGTCAGATGGCAGTGAAATCTAAATCGAAATATCTGTTGAATTTTTAAAGGCTTTTGGCGCATTTCTGGATGGAGCGTCTTCATTATTTTTATTACTAATTCTGGTAATTGCGACTGATTTCTTTTCTTAATCTGTTCAAGATCACGTTGTTTTAATGCTATTTATGCCTTAATTCACCGGACTCTGTGGGATATGCGCTTTCCATTATGACTATTATTTTACTACCACTACTACTACTACTACTACTACTATAACTACTAGTACTACTACTACTACTACTTTTTCTTCTTCTTGCTCATATTCTTGTTCTTTTTCGTAGCAGTATTAGTAGTAGCATCTTTATTAAAACTATCTTGGTCGACACTTCATTGTGACTATTATTTTATTACTAATTTTACACTATCTACTTGTAATATTAATAATAATAATAATCATTATTATTATTATTATTATTATTATTTAGAATTAAAGTTAAATAAAACCAAATGGATTTAAATAAAATTAAATTAAAAAGAAGAGAAAAATATAATTTCAAATTAATCGTATAAAAGTTCACACATAAAAGATAGGCGAATACAGAGTGACATCGACCAAAGATTACAATGACCAACTTGTTGACGCCAATATCAGCATTAATAATTAAACTTTACAGAGTAGATCACTCCCCCACCGGCACTAGAGGTTAGCTGAAGGATCATTAAGGAATTCTTTAAATAAAAAAAAAAAATCGTGATAAACACCAATGCATTTCCACCTTAGACCTTTCATCTGGTAGTAGTTATTGCAACTTTTTTTTTTAAGCATTTCACACCAAGCAAGGCGGGAAGCCACTAGGACGCAAGAGGTTACAGAAAATTTAGAGCAAGATCAGATAGGAGTGATAGAAGAAAGGATGAGGGTAGCGGATAGATCAAGGCAACTGGAGATGTCGATTGACATTAAACTTGAATAACTGGAGATTATAGCTCACAGGGAAACAGGAATAGGGAAGGGAGTTCCACAGGCGAGAGGTGCGAGACATGAAGCTATTAAAGTAGAAGAGACGGCTACATTTAGGAGTTTCGACAGTGAAGGGGTGAGAGCGGGATGCCAGCCTTGTAAGGCGCTGGAACTCATGACGTCTGGGAACCAGCGAATGCAGCTCCTCGGAGCAATTACCATGAAAGTATTTGTAGAACAGACTAAATTAAAACTTATTACCAATTCCATATCTCTATGTTATGTTCATGAATGCAGGCACTAGATCAGGAAATCTTGAACTCTAGCCATCTGAATGTAACTCTCTCAGGGTAGGAGCTCCTTCGTCTTATTCGACTGTCGTACTAGTGCTGTTATCTTGAACAAAATTACCCCTTTAGCCGGTCAAGGATAAAACGCAAAAAAGAAAGAGAAAAAAAATCAACAATTTCAATTCTTACAAATGCTCATATCGGATCAGCCGTGAACAGGGTCAAAAAGGGTCGCGTCACTTATAGAGGAATCAGTCTGTTGTCGAAAAATCTCTCATTAGAACAGATTAACCCAACAACGGCGAGACATGGTCACCAAACTCGGGCTAAAACAAAACGCGAACGAAATGGCACCGTGAAGGGTATCAAGATGTCATGGCATCCTTTTTCACCGCACTCGAAAATCCATAAAAGAACATCACTCTTCAGACATACCAAATATGGAGAACTAGGGTAGGAACTGGAATAAGACCCCATCTCAACCCTGACACGCATTCTAATGTCCACAAAAGCATATTGCAAAATATCTCTTAAATCCAGAAATAGATCAAAGAAAACAAAATACAAGGCAGACTACAATAACTTCTCACTCAAAACAATAATGAGATGAGAATATATATAAATAATATGACAGCGGATGTGATAAAAAAATAAAATAAATATGATACGAAATAATATCTCTCAGGAAATAAAACTGTAGAATCTATCTGCGACGTAAATAGCTGCAGTTTATCCAGATTATGTCACTGAAGAAGAGTCAAAAGTCATTAGGGTAGAATACCTTGAAAACAAGAGAGATGAAATCGCTGAATCGAAAAACCAAATCATTCAAATACTTAGCAAAGTAACTCTCACACAAAGGTCAGACAGAGAGCAGCTCTCAAAAATTAATATGTCAAAGCCCAATAAACATATTGTCCAACCATATAACATTGCACAGCAAACACTGTTAACGGACGAACCACTGATAAATATCACAGAAGTAAATAATATCATATACGCAACAGATTTAGCAGATACTGAAATACGTGTTGTCAAGACAAAGAAAAGATTAAAAAAAAAACAGGCAAAAAGATCCAGCTTCGAAGGCAAAATTAAAGCTATACATAGAGAAAATCAGATGTGAATTATCGATACTAGATAAGATCTGAATAAACCCAAACGTTTCAACACGCAAATGCAGGAAGCTCAAGCAGAGATATAAAATTAGATTATTAAATGGAATCCCGCCAATCAAGGTAATACTTAAACAGAAACTGCAATTAAAGTCCACATAGAACAAGACGATATGAAAATCATTGTAGATTCTATCGAAAAAATAACATATTCCAAACTGATATCTGCATTGGAAAATCTGCAAGGTTTACGGAAAGGAAACTGCAAGCAATTGCTATGAACATCATCCAGACCCGGACACAGAGATAGAACCTGTGACAATTTTATGGGACTTTACAATACACAGAGAGAGAAGAATCAAAGCTAATCGCCCAGACATCGTAATTAGAGACCTCAATGACAAAATCTGCCTTCTAATGTCCACAAAAGCATATTGCAAAATATCTCTCAAATCCAGAAATAGATCAAAGAAAACAAAATACAAGGCAGACTACAATAACTTCTCACTCAAAACAATAATGAGATGAGAATATATATAAATAATATGACAGCGGATGTGATAAAAAACTGCCATTGACATGGCAGTTCCTATGTATGAGATGTATGGCCCGAAAATAGGTACACTGATTTTTTCAAAAATGAATGATTTTGAAACTTATAATCAACGTATAGCCTAAAACTATTTAAGATTTGACGTTATTGCATTCCAAGATGTAACTGGCGCGTGTAGGTCACTAGAAAGCAAGTTGTGAGTGGACTAACATTAATTAACAGAAATATGTTGTTAGGGTTTGTAACTTTAATCAACAGACGACTAACGTCAGCAAAAAAACAACCCCATGACTGGGTGTGGTCTTAGCGTATATGGGTTGCAAACCTGAGATGTATTCATTGATGCATAGTGTTTATTAGGCAAGTAGACCTGGCAGTGTCCGTCCCTCCCCAGTTGAAACTACAGTCGATATCCTTTAAACTAAAGTCTTGCCTTGGTCGGGGTCACGAGGCTGCTGATTCATCGGATTGGGAGAACGCTTTCTCTTGTTCGTCGAAACCCCTCCGTCCATCGATGTAGTATCGTCATCGCACATTATGCGTGCGTATCACTGTAACTCTGTCAACCCTGTAGATATTCTATTTATCGTATTGTCTTGTCGTCTGTAGACTAACTTCCCCGTTTTTTATACACTGCATATTTATATTTTCTCAAATCTCGTGGTCGCCGTGATTTTGCGTTAATTTTTCAGCATAAAACAACATGGCTTCCCCACGAGATTCTTTTTACGTACAGACGTCCATGAGGTAAGTTTTTTTTCCTCAAACTACAAACACCATTGTGCTAGATGGCCTTTGGCCTAACAAGAAGTTTCATACCCTATTTAACTGGTCTTGTTTTTGTAACTATGCCGAGAGTCTATTCTCCCATCTTTACCAGTAATACCTGGTGATTGAACCGGTTTAGTCACCAATCATGTGAATATGCTGCAATCATTACTGAATTAAATGTTACCAGAAGCACATGTAGAGAGTGACCTGTTATAAATCAGTCCATCATATTGTCACAGCAATAGTATTTATTCAAATAAAGAACTGGGTTTTTGACATTACCTCCGAAAGCAAATGTTTTTATGATGCAACGACATCAACATTTGCGCTACTTATATCGATAAAAATTCCCGCTTGAGCTCCGATTGAATTCAATGAAGTCTTTTATTCAAGCCGGACTGTATGTTCTGTACCGAAATGGAAAATTGTATTTCCTATGCACAAACATCATATTCTTACATATAACTTGCCACCACTACTCTATCACTGAGGTTAACTTGCCACTATGCAGGTCGCAGAAGTATCAATAGACGTGTACTACTTGGGAAAAACAACTGCAATAAAAGACAGCGGATCTA